CAATCAATTGATATTCACAAGAGACGTACCTTGACATAACCTTAAATCCGTCGCATTGTCCGTGGGATTGTTTTCACTCATTTTTTACAATTGTTATCCACTAAATTTGAAAATAAAAAATACTACCCAATTAAATTATACTAGGAGGCTTCGCCCCCTGCGCGCTGGCGCTCGCCAATCCTCGGAACTGCTTTCGCAGTTCATTTCGGATTGCTTCGCAATCCGATGCTCACTTTGCTCGCTCATTGGATACGTTCTTAACGTCTAGCTTTTGTATACTTTTTGAACACTGAAGTTCCGAATACTTTTCACTGTAGAAAATTCTAAACCTGTGCATTTCAATATTAATTTGAAATTGAAAACAGTTCGCGTATTTTTCTTAATCACACTATTCTAAATTTCAGTTGTTGAGAAAAGTAACTGTTGTAAGTTTTGTTTTAAAGTCTTCCATCTAGTGTGTACAATGAGAAATAAAATGCTTTTCCGGCAAAAGAAATTAATTAGTTTTATTCTTATTGGCTCGTTACTACTGAGCACTCCAGCCCGGAAATTTCACGGGAGCGAGAAATAGAGGGCAAAACCTCACCCCGTCATTTTCACGGGAGCGAGAATGAAGGGTTTAATGCGGATTGGTTCAGAATTACGAAGTTGTATGAAGTACATGCATTTATACTGACGCATAAACATTCTGCTTTATTAATATAGATATGTATTTTAACAAAGGTTTTTTTAGACCATCTTAATGACAAGAATTAAATATACTTACTTTGAAAATAAGTAAATCTTACACGGTAATCACATAATCTTCCAAAAACAGTAACATGCAAGTTCATTCAGAACTATAAATTGATTACTAAACTTGAGTTGTAAGTGTTGATATTTTAGAAAATTTTAATCCATTTAAGAAACATACTTGCACTTTTCAACTGCGTGGATGACAAAAAAGAACAGAGAGGACTTGGACAGAATTTTGTTCGACATTTGGGATCAAATTATTATTTGATTTTACTCTTTTTGTTGTTAATATTCTTCCTACAATCATAATAGTTGCCAGAAAAAAAAATCAATTTAAATTTTTGGGTAATAAATTTTTAAGAACACAAAACAGGAATGCTCATATATATAACACTTTAATAAAAAAATATTTTAAAGATAACACAGAAATATAGTGTTACAGAAGTAAAAAATTCGAACAAAACAATTCTTTAACTGTTCAAAACGTAATAAAAATATAGGCTCAGAGCACATATATTTTCAAATTTGTAGAATTACCCATAACATTTTTTAAATATGTATAAAAATAAAATAAATTTTATAAAAATATTAGGGTAGGTTTTATCTTACTTATGTTAAGTCAATAACGAATCTGCAAGCATTATAATTTAGATACAGTTTTAATAAAATATATTTTACACTTAATAAAAGTAATGTATAAAAACAAACTTCTATTTATTTTTTTAATGAATTTTCAGTTCTTTCTAAATTTAATTAAATGGAATAAGCCTCGAGAGTTTTTCTAGGCTGAACATCCATTAAATTTTTTTCCTGAAAAAAATTATCATTAATTTTTTTATTAGTAATTACAGAAAGGAATTACACTTACTTGTGAGAGTTAAGTGTGGTCCTTAATCCTTCAATTTCTTCCATTGTTATTGTAATGTTTAATGTAAGAAAAGATTTAAAAAAAGAAATTGTAAGTATCAATTTATTTATAAAGAATTAGCATCCGTCGATTTCCTTTTGCAATGTCAGATCTTTAATTAGTTTTTTGTCTTGAAATTTTTTTATGTTAGTATATGTAATGAAGCGTGTGCATCTTTTATTGATTAGTGTTACGACAAAAAATATTAGAATGATTTTAAATATTTTAATAGATTCCATCAAAGAACGTTTATAATTTCACGGTATAATGCATTTTAATTACTTTTGCAGATACGAATAATAATAAACAAAGACAGTTTACATTTTATCTGTTGATAGTTTTGTAATTAATATTATAATTGCTTTGTTTATGGCTGTTGTCTTGTAATGTTTAAATAGTAAAGTATTAGTTCAATTTTTTTTTATTACAAATTTTCTAAAATTAAATTTAAAGTTTTACAACGTTCGTGAATATATGCATTTTTAATGCCAAAAAATTTAAGTTTAATTATAAATTTTATTTTTTGTATAAAATATGAAATTTAAAATCTCCTAATTTTAGAAGTAAAAGGAATAACTAATTTTTCAATGATATTACACCATTATTAAATATATATGCATTTTGAACTACAGCGTATCATTTAAATTTGCTGCAAACTTAATAAAGTGCAACTGAAATATGTTTCCCAATTAAAATTATCGTCCAGTAAGCAAGAGTGAGCATGGAAATTTTCATGATTATGTAGGTCAACTTGACGTCCTGCCAAATTTATAAATTTCATTTATTTAACTAAAATTTTTAGTGATTATTTGTTATCTGAATAAATTTAAATTTTCGGTCATTTTCTCAGTGGTACTATTTATAAGATCTGTAAATTTTTTTAAAAATAATTTTAAAATGGTCCTTTTTTTTAAAAAAATGTTAATGCCGTCTTTCAATATTATGAGAAAGTAGTGTAATAATGACCAAGTGTAATAATGACAGTAGTGACCAAGTAATAAATATTAATATAAAAAAATGATTGAGATTTTCTTCTTCCCTTTTATAACTATTTAAACAAACAAAAAAGTCCAAAAGTAAATCAATTTCGACCACCAACCTGAATAAGCTAATACTACTTATCTTAATTGAAGTATTGCTTAAGTAGAATTTTTATGAAATAAGGCATATAAATGAAAAAGTATATGAATATAACTTTGAAACTAAGTTCTTTAGATGCTGTAGCTGAAACAAAAATATTTAAGATGGTTCGATAAATATGTATATTGAAAGGAGCTTAAGAAAATAGTTTCGTCATAATTATTTGAATCCTACATCGAACTTAAGCTTACACAATTGCTGGTATACAAATGTCTTGTATTGTTTTCAGGTGCTGACAACGATTTGTGCAGATATGATGAGAAAAAGCATAGTGTTCGATGAAAAGAACCCTAAATATTTCTATTGTCCTCAAGAAAAACCAAAAGGCATGAACAAAATGCTTGTCAAGGCCAGACCTATTGACAAGCTATGTGAATATGCAGGACAACCTCCTAAGGAATTCAAATCTGATTGTTACAACGACATTGATGAATCTGACTATGCTTGCGCAGAAAAGGAAAGAATAATGGTAAGGATCAATAGACCGTACAGTATTATGGTAATGTGGTTAAGTTGTTAATCCATCTCCTTAATTCGTAATCGATTTTTTCAAATTTTCTGACTACAAAAATTTGAACAAAAATTTGATTTTTTACTTGAGTCTGGTCTAGGGGAATTATTGCTCAGCATTCGTTGATTTTAGGGATTTTTAACCGATCAGCAATAATTTAGATGGGATGCAGTGAAAATAAAGTGTGAGATGGTATATAGTGAAAATTAATGAAATTTAAAACACTTAAATTTTTGAAACTTTATATGAAAATTCTGAGTTTATAGATTTTTTCCACTTTAAATTTTCTGCTTAGAATTCCCCCCCCCATCTATTTGGCATATGTAAGAGTCTCAGTGCACAAAATATAAAAAAAAAAAGAATAACTGAATAACTTTTAATATAATGATTAAATTTTCCAGAGCAAAGATGGTTCATAGTTTCAGAGGGTAACTTCTTCCAGTTTAAATTTTTTTTTATGTCAACCAAACGTATGCAAGAGATACAGTGTGCAAAATATAGCAATAAAGAAACAACCTGATTAACTTTTGATGTAATGATCGGATTTTGCCCACAAAGATGCAACCTGCATGGCTCAAGAAGCTAAATTTAAATATGCTAATCATTTGATTCAGATGGTACTCTAGGTTATGAAATCAGACACACAAGCATTCAATTTTCTGAATAAAAATATAATTTTTCCAACTGATCCGAATTTTGAACCCACAAAATACAGAGGTAGCTGCAATCTGGAGAATATTGTTCCCTTAGTCTTCTGAATTTTAATTTTACTGTTTGCGAATTTTATCACAACTCTAAAAAAAGCTATTTAAGTGAATAAAAACAGCTTTGCACGTAATGATACAAGTAAAACCTCTTTATCAAAAGCTAGCTCTAATCAAATAATACATTTCTAATGATAATTTTTTTTTCTTGTGTTATGAATTTAATAATGATCGAAACTTTTTTAATTGGGACTTAATTTAACGCTATGCAATTTTCAATTAAAAAAAAATCTAAAATTTAATTAAAATCGGTTACAATTCGGTCGATTCCTTTAAACTTTTGAGTTTTGTCATTTAATAAAATGTAAAAATGTATGTATTATAACTGATTGTTGTAACTTAATTGTTGTTAGATTAAATAAAAAATGATAAATAATTATAATAATTTATTTTTTGCATGGAATCATCTTTGGACAAACGAGCTTTATACCTGTGTGCAAATTTTTTATTATTGGTATGATGTAAAAAATTTAAAAAAGTAAATTTAACATTAAAGCATTAAAACTTTTAACTGATTATCTAGCTAAATTTTTCTCATATTTTGAGGAACAGAAATCCGTATTGGTTAAAGGGAAAAACAAGTAAAATGAAAAATTGAAAAAATAAAAATAAATAAAACAAAATGTTTGTTTATCCAAGAGAAAGTAGGTTTTTGTACCTGATTTCGCAATTTGAAATACCATTTGCTCTAACTAGATGATAGCATATTTTCAAAGTATACCTTCTCCTCAAGTACATTTTATTATCTATATTTATATATTTATATGTATATATCGGTATAGATATAGACATACAAAACAAATTCAATACCAAAAATATTAAAATAAAGCACCTGAAAAAAAAACGCGTGTTCAATTTTCTGGCTAGATGCAAATTAGACGTGTTTGATTTGAACATAAAATAATTTAAAAAAATAAATAAAAATGATTAAAAAATCAAATGTCATATTTTCAGCATAAAGTGAAAGAGAGATTAAAATCCGATTTTTAGATTAAATTTCTTTTCAAAACGGTTGTATTCACCATAGCTAACAATGCTGCTTGTTTAATGTTAACCTTGGTTATTGTATTTTTTCAGACCAGGTTAAATCCTCCCAATGATACTGACACTACAACTATGGCGTCTACAACTACGACAAAATCTTACATGAAATTAAAGGCTAAGAAGTTGTAAAGGAAATGGACATCTGGTGGTCATTTTTGAAACTGTTTTTCTTCTGGCAGCTATAAAAAAATGGAAAATTTATTTATTTATTTTATCTTTTTCAAACTTTTTGGATTTTTTGTGATCATTTTAGTTAGATTTTGAGCAAGTTTTGTATACATTTAGAACTTTTTATGTAACGCATTATTTTGTGATATTTTTTCAATAACATTTGTAAAACTTTTGTAACACTGCTTTTTTGAAGAAAATTTACAACTTATTTTTTCATTTTAGAATTAAAAGGTGATTGTTAAACTGATTTATTTTTTTAATTAAATGTCTAAGAAAGTGAAGTTATCGTTTTTCTTTAGAATAAATATGATCACTACTATTTGCTAAATATTTTTTCAATTTCAGTTAATTTTATATTAATTGAGTATAAATTATTTATGAAGTTAATTAATCATTAATTGTAATCTGTTTTGTATCTAGGAGTTTTAAGCATGAACTGATGAGTTTTAAGCACACTGAGAAAACAAACATGGTCAAAACTATCGGAATATGGTACCATGTATCTGGGAACACTAAAAAGCACAGTAATTTTTACCAAAACACTTTGGTAATGATTTTGGTAAAATTAACCACAAAGCATTGTTTTATAATCTGTGCTAAATTGTCGTAAAATTTGGTAATTTTCTTAATGATAGATTAGAACATGGCATAAAAAGCATTTATTCGGTAAAATATACTTATCATCAGTTTTGTATTTGTTACTAAATGTGTGGTAATAAAAACTAAAATTTATAAAAGCAGAATGTCCAGTAATCTGTTACCATATGAACGGAAAAACTACCAATTGAATGATTTGAATATTGTATATTTTGGTTTTATTAATCTAAATTACGTTTTCTCAAAAATGTTTTTAAATTTTTTTTAAATCAAAAATGTCAGTACCATACAGAAAAATAATTTTACCAGAAATTTTCTTTTCTCCGTGTAAGACCTCACTTAAATCTACTAATCTTAAAGAAAGGGACAGCACTCTACCAAATAGAACGTAATAAGCTGCACTACTAATGATCAAATAAACTCTCTACTCCGCAAAAGTGAAACAAAAGGTAGTACAGAAATTAGGTAGCACTATGAATGTTAAAACGAGAAATTTCAAATGCCACTTTCTTAGGAGCTATTGAAAGTAATTGCATAATCGTTTTTCAGTATAAATAATTAGATTCCCAATTGATTGCAGATCCACTATGGGGATAAATTTAGAGACTTATATGGCCAACAGTAATGTGATACCATGAATTAAGACTAATACTAAAAGTATGGAATAAATAACGTGTTAGTTGTTCAAACCATTTTTACACTTGCCGTTGAAGCCTATATATTAAACAATATATTCTATATATTATTGTTCAGAAAATAATATTTTTCATATTATACTATATTGTTTGTATTTAGCAATTTAAACAATTTAAGCTATTGAAAAAACAGCTATAAAGAAATTTAAATAATTATTAACGGTAGTTCGCAATTGAATATTTTCTTTCCGAGGTTCAGAGAAAACCGTTATATAATTTCTTTTATAAATATAGACGTGGAGTCATAGTGATTCAGGGGATCATAGTAGCTCAGGGTCATGGTGGCTCAGGGGATAGAGCGTTCGCCTTCCTATGAGGTGAACCGGGTTCTAATCCCAGAGATGGCTGGTTGATATGAATTCCGTATCCGACTTGCACTGACCACAATGCTGACGCAAAAATATCCTCAGTGGTAGACGGATCATGGGTTAGAGTCCCCTTGCTGTCAGGCTGATCGTGAGAGGTTTTCGTTGTTTTCCTCTCCATGTAACGCAAAGGCGGGTTAGTTCCATCAAAAAGTCCTCCACCAAGATAAATTTCTCCCAGAACTTTATCCAGGAGTTCCCTTGTCTCATGGAGAGGGTTCAAAATTACAATGCTATGTAGTTGAACATTTGTAGTCATGCCTGAACATCATGCCAAAATTGAGTCGGTTGTTCAACGTCGGTAATAAAATAAAATAAAAGTAAACAAAATTTAATAACGAATTGCAAATAACAATTAGAAACATAAAATTTACCTTAAAAGTTGTACTTGTGTATCCTTAATAGTCTTGGATTAGTCAATGGGCTCTCATTCGGCCTTCTCAAATCAATAAGAAAAATTTGACTATTTGTAATAGTTCAAAATGGAATCGCATTATTTAAAAAAATAACATAAAATATATTTAATTCATTTTTATGCAGCCATTGATACATACAACTGAGAAATTTAAAACTTTATTTCTTGCAATATTTCTAAAAGCGAGTATGCAATTTATAAACGTTACATGAAATTTAAAAAAAAGTATAACATTTTGAAATTATATTTTAAGTAATTAGAATATTTATTTTTATTTACTGGGGATTTTAGAGGAACTATTTATTTTCTGTTATAATTCTAAATGAGATAATATAAACTAAATGCACTATCTGTCTAAAAGTATGTGATTTGGACTAGGCTTTTCGTGATTTGCATTAGGTTCCTAAGTTCCTGTGGTTGCAAGCATAAACTTTGAGATGCATGCAGTCATTTTAGACAATGCGTTTGTCCCAACTTTAGGGCAATATTTGAGGACATTTCTCTTCCAGCAAGGTAACTGCATTTAAACATCAAGAAATGCACAGTTAAGGTTATAAAAAATGTAGTTAATAGACTACGTGATAGACTACTCTTAATAGACTACTAAAATAGACGTTCAAAAACTGGACTGGTCTTCTCAGACTTCCAAACCACCTTAAAGTAAGATTTTCGCCATTGCATCGCACAAATATTATTTAAAATCCTCATTGTAGATACGCAATGCCCTTTTTTTTATAGATATTATTATCATTGCTGCATTCTGTTTATCGAAGTATTTATATTTTGCCCTAATCCTGATTTAGATACTATTTTAAGACGCTGTTTTGCCAAATTTAAATCAATTTATTAAACAAAAATTATAATAAATAAATATCAATTCAATGCTTTTGAAAACTGCTTCTTTTCGCTTCATATTCACTGCTTTTTTTGTTTTGCTGGTCACGAAAAAAAAAACCTTAAAAAGAAGTAAAAGTTTTGCTAAAACGGAAATATTTCCGGCTTTGATATTCACCTTCCGGATTGTCTTCTATACCTTAACTTGCTCATAACTGGTTTAATTTCTTAATCATTTAGAGCACAATCAAAAGGAAATTTTTGAAAAAAAGCTAAGAGGAAAAGAAATATAAATTCTCTACTATATACTATTCTTATTCCTTTCAGAGTTTAAAATAGTAATTTTAGACAAACCAGATACCTTAAATCAGTGCTTCTTTTAAAACGAATCAAAATATCTTTATCATTATCAAATTCAATTTGAATTAAAAACCAGTATCTTGCAAATTCTTTCTAATGACAAATTTAAAATGTGTTATTATGCATTTTTGAGGTAGTAAAACACGTATAGGATGATAGCGATAAAAATCGGAAAAAGAATCTTATGAATATGCTGATAGGTTATCTAACAGAAACTGATAGCATTATTTATCTATATTCGATAGAATTATTAGTTGTTTAGCATACTTAGTATAGCTGCCTGAATGCATGCGGGTATAGTTCAGTGGCAGAGCATTCGACTGCAGATCGAGAGGTCCCCCATGGTTTAAATCCGGGTGCCTCCTAAATGAATAAAGTTTTTCTTGAGATCATAAACCTGAAATAAAAATTACGTCATAAAATTTTGAAATTCCATTAAAGTAATACATTTGATTTCTTACCTGTCTTTTTTTAAATAGCACTTCTACATCACATTTTTTTTTATTTGTTAATATTTTTCGACATAAAAAAATTAACAATTCAATGAAGTTTTTCAATACATTTACGTGGAATAAGTTGCTACTTATTTCTCATTAACACATTACTTGAAAAAAAATTTTTTGGTTTAATTTTATTCTTAAGAAATTTCTTTTTTTTCCAGACTAATGTATCACTTTTTATAATTCAATTTTTGATTTGACGGTAAAAAAATCAACAGAGATTAAAACTTGTTTATCGCATTTGATAATATAAAAACTTCATTCGTTGAAAAAGAATAAATATGAAGGCTGGAAAAAGTTGACTAATATTCTAAACGAGCCCTCAAGAACATAGGCGCCCATTCTCAAGACTTGCCAGGCATGAATCAGGGAAACAGAACACGTAAAGTTCCCGACGAAAAAATGAAAATAAATAAAGATGAAAAACAAAGTGACGAAGTGGTATGTTACTCCTCCGAGCATATTAAATTAACAGAATTAAATTTCGGCCGTGTGTTAACAGCAGCTGTATTTTCTTTTACAGATAGCGTGAGAGACGTCATTCTGTGTGCATGTTATTACCGAGCTTGTATAAAATGCATGAATTGCTGAAAGTTGTTGTCACTTTACTAATTCACGGGGATCGTAATAGCATGGCTGGTAAGGCGTTAGGCCCATGTCAGAGAGGTCGTGAGTTCGCTCCCCACCATGATTCCTCGTGTATAAAACGGTTACTGGAGAGTGCCAAATCTGTCTGAGTCACAAAGTCCTTCAAGTTCCCATAACAAATCAATACCATTGGGGGTACTGGATTAGCGACCGATCGTGCTCTGTTTCTTGTCAAAATTTCGATCTGCGAATGGATGGTGCGTGAATCGGGAAAATCCCTGTAAATCGGGAAGTGACTTATACATATCCTCTTCGGATCATCTTCAGGGAAGTTTCTAAGACCATTGCCAATAGTGCACTGTGCAGCTTTAGTGCGACGCAAATAAATGTATCAGCACCTCTAATTCCAGTTATTATATCGTAGCGTAATGTACTATGTTACCCTTATATTTTTAAGCAGTATTATAAGAAAATATTTTTCACTTGTTTGTTGTATCAAGATAGTACTCTGTATTTAATAAAAGTTGTTTAAATCTACAAATTTCATCATAAGACTCTCCACTTCCCTCACCATCCACTGTTCTACCTACATAAGAAGAGCGGTAATAGGCCTACTCGAACTCGTAAACCTATGGTCCACAACAGGGAAATATTTATTCTAGTTAAGAGTGAAAAGTGGTAGAGTCTATTAATGAAACAGTTTTTACATTTCCAAATCTTGGGGATTTTAATTACTCAAAATGGAGAATTGACATGAAAATTTCATTAATGGACGAAGGATGTTTGAATTTCATAAGTGGAAATAAAAACCACATGAGGATACAAGAACTTAGAGAGACAAATCGGCTCATCATCTTATAAAATAGCGAATCTACACGACAATCTACATGGGAATCGAAAGAAAGTATCAATCCCTAATTGCTGATACTGAAGACGGTAAGACAGCTTGAGAAACGCTGAGAGTA